AGAATGGCCAATTCCTACGGATTTTCGCTTAAGTCTCAGAAATGGACAAAGAAACTCTTTCTCCATTTCCTGAACATTGCCGTTTTAAACGCATATATATTATTCAACGAGAGGAACTAGATTGATCACAGAAGTTTTCGCATGAATTTAATTAATCAAATTTTTCAAACATGTGATAGGAATAATTTGCCTACGATTGTTTCTTCAACCACTCAATCGTTTCATTGGTCAGTAAAATCTGATTCGAGGAAACGGTGCGTTGTGTGCAGCAAGAATCATAAAGAAGTGAGAACTTGGGTTGCATGTAAAATCTGTAATGGTGGCCTATGTCTCGAAGAGTGTTTTGAAAACTATCATAAGTAACTTTATTGTTTTCTTTTTCTTCCTTTCTTTTTTTGTTTGTTTCACTTGCGAGTATGCTCGCATTACTTATATTAAAAATATGTAATTCATTTTGTAAAATCTTTTGAACGAAGTTTCTATTTAATTATTAAAAACGTTATTAAAAATTGATTAATTTTTGCTAATTGTCAAAACTTTATAATGGCCGTAGTAAACTAGTTATTAAAAATTAGAGTACTTTGAGTCCTCCATATAGATTCTGATACATTTTTTTATCAGTTGGAAATAACTTTAACGTTGTAAATTACAGTACTGAAATAAGGAATAAAAATGATATATACAGAAAAAATCTGCTTGGAGGTCAAATATCAAAGAAATTTTATTTTCAGAAGTACGGTAGCTAATATTTTTCAGAAATTATTTTAAAAGCTTGAATGTATTTAAAAATGCATAATTTTTCCAGTGTTATTTCTAATTAAATTATTCTAAATTTTGTTTCAAATCGAATTTGAAATTGTCTTTGTTTCATTCTTTTCAGAAGTGTTTTTATCACTTTATTCCAATTTTTAATGTATAGGTGCAGTGTAATAAATATAAATGTTTCAGGTGATGAAAATTAATTTTAATGTTATTTCCAAATGACATACATTCCCCGACTACTGCTTATTTGAGTGAAATTTGGTTTGTTATGTTCTAAATGATAACTAGCTGCCGAACGGAATATATTTCTTTAACTCTCATAATTTAACTTATAACTTCAAATTCCGATGAACGGATTGACTTTTTAAACTTTTCTTGTTCTCTCACATATGTAAAGAGTATATCAGCCAATTTCCTTTGCACGCCCTCCACGAAAGCCCCTTCGTTTTGGTAGATAACGCTTTCTTTAATCTGATTAATAAAAATAAAATTATATTCGAAATAAGAAAGCTAAACATATGAGCATTTCATAAGTATGTTTAGAAACCCTTTCCTTTCATGAATAACTTTGGTGACAAAATGAATTATAATTGTGCGACAAATGAAATGCGAATTTTTATTAAAGCAATTATTATGGAACATTTTCTAATTCAAAATTTAAAAAAGTTTCAAAACTTAATAATTAATCCGTTGTTATATGTTTGCGTCTATAATGTCATATCTGTATCAATCCATTCAGAAAGCAGATATGATAGTTTAGGTTAATTGAAAAAGTGAAACACACGAAGGCTGCCTACCTAAAGGAAAGGATGCCTTCATGGAGAACTTTTAGGGCAAAATGGCTCATATTCACGTTTCACAAGGGGGAAACAACGAAAACCAATCATGCAGCAGCTCGATCGCTTGACGTCGAACTACCAGCATTCAGCAGCCAAAACCACTCAGCTACTAATAGTGTTCAAAAAGTAATTAATTTTACGTGAGAACTGTGTTTTGGAGGGAATCAAACAAGATATTGGAATACTAAGCACGTATACAGGAGTTCAGATGTGTACCACATTTTAGTTCCCTGAATTTAATCCTCAGTGCGAGCCTTCATTAGTATTCATCAACTCAAGTACGAATCTTCATCCCGAGCTTCATCACTTCCAAAGAAAGCAACAGTAAATAGCTTGAGACCTGAAAATTTTGCATAACGGTTTGATATTTCAAAGGCGAGTTTAGCATTCTGAAAATATAGATCATAAAAAACTGAAGAAATATTTCGCCATTTGGCAAAGATTTTTATTTTTGAAATTTCAATGCGTTCATGTATATGCAATTTTGCATTCAAAGGTGTAGGTGTAGGTGTATTTAATTATGGCAAAGCACACGAGGGCTATCTGCCTAAGGGGAGGGATGCCTTTCGTGGAGGACTTTCTAAGGGAAACTGGCTCGTATACACGATACACATGGGGAAAACCACGAAAACGCCCATGCAGCCAGCCCGTTCGCGGGATTCGAACCTCGGACCGAACTCCCAGTGTTCAGCGACTTTACCGCTCGGCCGCTGGTGGGCTTTGCATTCAAAGGAAAAATGCAGCAAGAATATAAATCATCGAACAACTGTTCTACTTCTATTCGAAGGTAAACGTAATAGCTAATATCTCTAAGTGATAAAACTAAATTTTTGTTACTGAATACATTAAAAGTCAACAATGATTTTATTTTCTAAAGTTTCAGGGTTTGCATCTGCATTTCTTTCTTGAACCGAAAACTATGAAGTGGTTAAAAAAAATTAAAAATCTTATATCCCTGAGTTAAAGGCAGATTAACTCTGGGTTCTCTATTTGCAAAGCCACATGGAAGAAAAATAAATTAAAAAAAAATTCTTGGTTCATGCATTGTAAATTTTTGTTAGTGCAGGTGTTGTTCAATAATAATTTAGTGCAGTACAAACACAGTGACCAATTTCTATTTCTCCAGAAATGAATATTGCCAGAGGTGTAAAAGTAATAACACTCATTTGTGAATTCAGAAATGCTTTTTAAATGGCACTTGAATAAATAAACTCTATTTAATTTTCTCTTTAATATCAGAATAATAATACTATTAAAAATGAAAATGTGCATATTGCTTGAAGGACATGTTTGAATATTTTAAATATCACTGATAACACTCATTTGTGAATTCAGAAATGCTTTTTAAATGATACTTGAATAAATAAACTCTATTTAATTTGCTCTTTAATATCAGAATAATAATACTATTAAAAATGAAAATGTGCATATTGCTTGAAGGACATGTTTGAATATTTTAAATTGAATATTTTAAATATCACTGATAACACTCATTTGTGAATTCAGAAATGCTTTTTAAATGACACTTGAATAAATAAACTCTACTTAATTTGCTCTTTAATATCAGAATAATAATACTATTAAAAATGAAAATGTGTATATTGCTTGAAGGACATGTTCGAATATTTTAAATTGAATATTTTAAATATCACTGAATTTTCGATAGATGACAAGTGAATATATTAACTCTTATTGTGCTTCACTTATTTTTTAGTACATAATCTGCGTGTAAGTTTAAAAAACGATTTTAATCATAAAATGGAGCACTTTTTTAGAACAAAATTTTCTAGTTGTAGCATACATTTAATCTGAAGAAAAAATATTTCTTTTTCTTGGGAAAACTGCATTCATCTACCTGCAGTGTGAAAGCGATTAGAGTACATCCCGCATTCTAACGCCTAGAGCATTGGACCTGGATTGAAAGGAAATCCTGGCCGTTTCTCTGCCTGCCGACAAAAGAGCACTAATCACCTAGTCGTTGAGATTCGATTCGATAATTTTCCCCCTTTCCATAACCGCTGAACCAAGAGCCCCAGTGAAGGTACACAACTGTTTTTCGAGACCACGGGAAAAGGTTTTAAAGTAACATTCAATATTAAATGATAAACGAAATGATCCTATAAAATGGATCATTGAATGCTCTCCCCAAACATCCCATTTAATTAAGAAAACAAATCCTTAGTGGCTGGAGGGAGCACCGAATCACGGAATATTTTGGCGCAGACGGTGCTTAACCTGTCCAGATTTCAACCATTCTGTGATTGTCCACACAGACAGTAAAATGCGTTTTGTGGGGGACAGTATGATAGTAAATATTTCAATGTACAGTTCCCATCCTGCATCAATTGCAAACTTTTCAATAATGTGAATGACAGAAATTTCAACACAAATCATGCTGCATTTTCGTCGAACTGCCTGATGTACCATCGTGAAATACAAAAGATCAAAGAAAGAACGGACAGAATGCATCCAACTAAGAGGAAAAAAGTAACGAATCAGCAAATAACAACGATCCCTCCCCTTTTAACCAGACTATTAAAACGAAGCACAGCCCTGAAAATTAAGATTCTCCAAATTAACATGCAAGAAGCTTAAGCATCGTCTAAAAATCTCGAATTATTCTTATCAGATCATCATTATGATTTAGCGCTCGTACAGGAACAGTATTGCGTAAGAGGTAAGGTCAGCGCCATAGCGTTAAGCTGGAATCTAATTCAGCACCAAGACAAAAAAGAAAACCATATAAGAGCAGCTAATCATATGCTACAACAAGAAGTGGTCACCCTGAACTATATTTTTCTCTAAAGATATAGTAACAATAGGCTTGAACACTACAAAGGAAGAACTGTTCATCACATCCTTCTATAGTTCTCCAGTAGAAGAAATTTCAGGCGCCCAATCGGGATAGTGGTTAAAGACGCTGATTGACGTACCGATGGGCCGGCCTTCAAATCCTGGAGAAAGTATGCGTGTTTGTAAATGTATTAGAAACTGTACGACATGGGGGTTGCTCTCATGTGACTGTCAGACAAATGAGATAAGTCACGACAAAGCAACAGAAATTTCATCAAGCCCTAAGCATAAAATTGAAAGATGCAGCGTAGAAAAATTATTATAAACAATTTAAAACTGAAAGGAGGTATAACCAAATTAAAACGGGGAATAAATAGGATTATTTCCATAAAGTTAGTAATTTTGAGTTGCATGTTTTATATCTTACAAATAGTAAGATATAAAACTGCGAACAGAAAATGGAGGTTAATAATAGAAATAACACAATTACTGCACTAATATTAACAAAATTAAAACACCTCAGTTTAAAGAATAAATATACTTATAATAAGAATTGTTTAAAGTACAAATTTAAAAATACTGGCAGTTAAAAAAAATGGTTCTTACATGCACAGAACTGAAATTTTCAACATTCTGAGATTGTAAATGATCAAACACTTCTTTTAATGTTTCCCATGTGGTTGTCTTCCCACAACCGCTCTCTCCAAGAATAATAATGGCATGGTGAAACTGTAGTTGTTCAAAGAACTGGATGATTTTTGATAGAGTAGCGTGAGTCAGCTGGAGAGACTTTTTACTCAGAATGTTTTTCACAGCATTAGTAATCTAAGAAAAAAGAATGGATAGAATAACAATTATTTGTTTATAATTTTTTAAGGACTTTAATATTTTGAGTTAAAGTTTGTTCTAGATTTCTTGAGATTCCTTTTTTTTTTTTTTTTTTTTTTCAGTTGATCTTAGCAAAGTTACCAAATGTTAATAATGATTACTAACGAAATTCAACTTACTTTCTTTATAATGACATCTAATAATAATAGTTTTTGTTTAATTTAATACAGCCAATATTTGTTGCTGATACATGTTGAAAGACAGAATAGCAAGAAGTAATAAACTTTTCTTTACACAATGTTGTTGTTGTGAAACAATGCTTAACAAAATAAATGTTCTTGTTATAAATTTTATTTCCAAATTCCCCATATCGATATACAAGCTAATTATTTAAGAAATTTAGTCCCCATTTCGCAAAAATTATTTTTACTAGAATATTTCAGTTGAGAAATATTAAAATACTTTACTTCCATCTCCAATCAACTGAATATTACTTAAAATTTCCATTCACGAATTTTATTGTTTATTGAGACACCCAGCTTTGCAATAACCTAGTCCATCTATCTCACTGGCATTTATATTAATATAATTTGAAATAGTATGATTTCCGTTCCAAAAATTATCAATCACAATTGTCCACAAAAACGAATTTCGAGTCAATTCATTTTCAAGGATTGTCAAAGTAGATGGTAATCTACACCTTGCAGTGGGCACTGTCTTAGAAGGTGTCTGAAGGTGTCTTAGAAGGTGACTGAAGTGAAGTTTTAGTGATACTGGGCACCATATAATAAGCTGTGTTTAATGAAAAAATAATAATATTCATATGGCAGTATTTGAGTTTTCACTTCAAATACTTTCCAGGAACACAGCATTCATAGTTTATATTAGCCATCACAGCTACTTACACTGAATTATGAAGGAAGAGAGAGATATGAGCACTGACTCAGAGAATTGCGAACTTAAGTGAACTTAGAATTGAATTTAACATTGAAATAATTGATAATGCCAAGTTATTCTGTTCCTTTTATTTGTGAATTCACAATTTGTGCTAATAAATATTAGAATGAAATATGAATACATTTCATTTTATCAAGGGAGCTATTGTTTGTATTTAAATACTCTGGCATCCAAACCCGAAGAAATAAGATAAGACCTTTTGTTTATCTTTCATTTTATCATGTATTCTTTACGCTACATCTGCAGTCATAACATGGTTCATTTGCTGTCTTAACGCTAGATTGTCTTAGAAGTTAGCCGACGAACGCCAAGCGCAAAGGTTTAAATTGAACGGCATAGATACTGCATATATTCTGAACACAGCTCTGAAACTACATGAAAGGGAAATAGTAGTACTTTAAGGGAGTGGTCTCAAACTCATACTGCCCACAAGCCGCATGCACGATTTGAATACAGCTGATGGACGAGACTTCGTTTTAAACAAATGAAATTTTTTTATTAATAAAATAAATATTTAAAAAAATTCTTAAATTTTAATACCTAAATATTTATCAAAACATGTAATTATTACAATAATATCGCAAAGGAAAAGAATTAAAATTTATATTTATTTTCGATCCGAAATCTAATGTTTGGCACTTACAAGACATTTTGGTTGGTTACACCTTGTTATTCAATATACCTTGAAAAATACCTTGTAAATAAATATCAGACCGGCATTTATTTCAAATAATTTTAACATGCGTAATTAATCATTAAATAACTTACTTGTATAATATAAACTAAAAACGAACAAATTGTGAAAGCTTTCAATGTGGGACAAAACTTCCGAGCAAATAATGACAGCCTAATCTTTCTCATATTTATTAAACTTTTCTATAATGTATAAATAAAAATACGTGTGTCTGTATGAAATAATTACAAACATTTTTACTCATTAATACAGCTTGAGTTCGATTTTGATAAGATTTTAACATTGGAGAGAAACTGCTAGTAATTATTTTCATCACGGATTGTTGATGCTCATCGATTAATCGGGTTCTTTTCTTATTTTTAACTGAGGAAAAGAAAAGTTATTCATATTTTTATTCAGCTGCATTCAAAAACAAAGCGATTATTCTTACGGCAAAAATTCGTAACTGAGTATTTTCAGTTTTCGAAAAGTAGCTCTTATTAAAAATCTGTAACTCCAAATCTTTGAATAAAGTTTACATCCCACAATAAATTAATTAGCTATCTTTACTATTTTTTTGGTGTGTGTTCTTCGCGTTCAATTTTAATGGTAAAGAAAATAATATAAATTCGAATTTCAAATAACTAAAATATTGAATTGTTTGCAACACTATATTTGCAATAAATATTTACTAAAATGTCTTCGAGGGTAGCATAAAACTGTTTCGGGGTCCGCCAGTTTGAGGCCACGGACTTAAAATACTCCATTATCACATACTGTCATGTAAGGTACACATGTTCTTAAAGTTTGATGACTCTATTATTGTTAGAAGTATTAGCATTTGTCGCCAAAAGGATGGCAGGAAACCTTTAGAGAATTTATATATCCGTGGAAAAGTATGTTTAGTTTTAGGTATTTTAGGCATTTTGTTTTACACAGTACATTACATAACAAAATTGAAAACCAAAACAATTCATTACACAGCAGGAGAAAGAATTGAACATTCATCATTGTTGTCGCTCATATGGAAATAGCACTTTTGCTACTTACTTGTAAATAATGGCATAGATAAATATCGGATGTAGACATCACTTGATTTCCTTATGCGGCCTATTAAATTATACACATTTTCTGCTGCATTTCATTTAAACTCATTTCCCTGAATTTCATTAGAGGTATATTTTTCGTTTAAATAATTTTGTTCTCACTTCGTGGCATAGCAAAAATACATAAAACCCCAAAGTATCTTCATTAAAAATTGAAAAATACAAAAAATATTTAACCCCAAATATAGTTAAAAAAACCATTTTTACAATTGAAATTAGAGTTTGTACACCAAACCAAGCAATTCGACCAGCGGGCAGGAAGAGAGATTTTTCGGTGAACAAAATTTAAAGTTTACTTTTGACCCCACTCGGCAAAGAGACACTGAAGTTGGTACACAAACCGACTGAATTCACTATTCTGCTAAGAGTTTAAAGTGTAAAAAAAAAAAAAATGGCAGCCTCGTTACGATTAGCAAGACTTAAACAACTTTTGAATTGTTGATGATTCTACAACTATTGCGGACAGATTAACTAAACCTTAACCGGACAAATTAATTAAAATAACCTTAACAGGAACATATCAATAATATAATTCAATCACTTTTCATGCAAAAAATGCACAATTACATATAGACGAGATCCTTATTTATATTATTTATAAGTAAAAATAATTATAAGTAATTCAAAACGCCTAAAATTTGCGTTAAAGCTGCTAAGTAATAAATCAATAATTTATTATTAGAAAAAGTATTTATATATCATCTCCAAGGAAAAGAAATTTATTTAAAACTGTAAATTATTAGAAAGAACTTTAGTAAGTATTTTTACGTAGCTTTCCAACTTAGTATCCAAAGTTATCTATATCTATGGTAGTAAAAATTATTTAAAATCTTTAAAGAAAAATCTTTTGACCGTAAAAATTCCAAATATTAAATTCAAAATTCTGATCGCAGATTAATTGACTTATTAAGGGGAACAAACCAATCTACTATCAATTAACAATAACCAAATTAAGTGAAAGTGTTTCGTCTTTTTTCGAATAAGGATCAAATTAGTTATTTTACTGGAGTTAGTTGATGAGTTAAGAGCAATATTCAATTATTATTAGAAAGAAATTGGTCTACTTAAGCTAAAAAACATTTTTATCATAAATAAAATCTAAAATAAAAATGAGTACGAAATTTAAGGTATACATTAAGAACTGAAGTAGACGAGATCCTTATTTTAGAAAAAATATTCCCCGACACTTTCGTAGTATTGTAAAAATAATAAACAAATTATCGAAATTTGTACAAATTAATATATATAAAAGAAGACATTAATAGAAAACATATAAATGAATATAAAGTATCGTCTACACAGTGAATCCAGACACGAAAAATAATTTCTCAAATAATTTGACCTTAAAATAGTGCATATAAATGTCAGCAAGTACTTTTATTAATTTTCTTTGGTTTTTAAATTTTGAAAAACTGCAATAGAAAATTAACATAAAAAAGAATTTGCTTAGCGGGTGACATGATTTATTATGGGGAGGCAAACAGACAGAAAAAGGGGGTAAGATAAACAGTAGTGCTAAAATCAAATTTATTAAGGATTATAAGAATATCAAGGAAGAGAACGGTATTATCAGATTCAGTTTTAAAAGTGAATTGGATTGCTGGGTCAGTCGAATTCACAACAGATAATATCTGCTTTAAATCTTCTTTATTACCAACAAAAAGCGGGAAAGTGTCGTCTGCACAGTGAATACAATACAGACACGAAAAAAATAGTTTCTCAAATAATTTGAACTTAAAATTGTACATATAAATGTCAGCGAGTATTTTCTAAATTTTCTTCGTTTTTAAATTAAAAAAACTGCAATGGAAAATTACTATACTACTATTTTTAAAATGTGTGTGTGTGTGTGATTATGGCAAAGCTTCGAGGGCTATCTGCCTAAAGGGAGGGATGCCTTCGTGGAGGACTTTCTAAGGGAAACTGGCTCGTATACACGTTACACATGGGGAAAACCACGAAAACGCCCATGCAGCCAGCCCGTTCGCGGGATTCGAACCTTGGACCGAACTACCAGTGTTCAGCGACTTTACCGCTCGGCCGCTGGTGGGCCTATTTTTAAAAGCTTGGTTATTAAAGAAGAAATACTTATTAAGACGGAATGAATATTATTAAAAATACAATTGCTATTTTGTTCATTTAAACTCCTTGAAAACAGAAATTTATAGTCGTTTTAAAACAGCGAGTATGGTCTTACATTTTATCACAGCACTGATAAAAATTTTTTTTTTTTTTAAATTAAAAATTAAAATGCAAACTAGACACAATAAAAAATAAATGACAATTTTGTTTCTAAAATTGATAATACAACTTGTAAAGACATTAGATTATTTGGAGGCAGGAGGGATGAAGAATTAACAACGTCTTCGCCGGGAATCGAACCGCGGGCCTCTCAATTACGCGCTGAGCGTGCAGACCACTACACTACGAAGGCTCGTTAAGAAAGCGGGAGAAATGCCTTATATACTCACCCTTTTAAAGGGCGACTGGGGTTTTTAGGAAACCCAATCGCCAAATCCTGGGTGTGGAGAATCATTATCCAACACCCTTTTAGTTCGAGAGCCACTGCAGAGACATTAGGTAATTTGGAATCCGGATGGATGAAGAATTAACAACGCCTTCGCCGGGAATCGAACCCGCGGACCTCTCAATTACGCTCTGAGCATGCAGACCACTACACCACGAAGGCTCGTTAAGAAGGCGGGAGAAATACCTTATAAACTTTTATAAACATACAACTTACATCTTTCTTTAAAATAGAATATGCGTAGAAATAATAACATTGCATGTATTCGTTTTTTTTTTTTTTTTTTTTTTAACCATATATGAAATTAAAGTTTCTGTCCTAATATTGAAGGCAAAGAATTGAGTTAAAAATGTCATACATAGGGATATTATCATTATTCAAAGAGATTAAATATTTCAACAATTAATTATAGGAAAATTACACTTTTCTTTAGGGGAAAAATAAAATTACATATTTTTCAACAGTAATTTTAAAAATTGCAACATTAGAGCAATGTTTAACATTTTATGAACGTATTTTTATGCACATTTTACTTACAACTGATAAATCCTTTTTTATCTCTTTGACACCACTCAAAATATTTTCTAATATATCTTCAAATATAGGAACATCATCTGCATGTAATTCTGACATGCTGGAGTTTCTAAGAGAAGCAGCTATGACCTGAAAGTTAAACAAAATGTATGTAACTAAGAGAATATTGCGCGCATAAAAACTACTTATTTTAAGATAGTAGTAATATATTTTGAGCAGGAAAATAATGCAAGGAGATTAAAATTTGCTGTGTTTCTTTTCTGATAATAACAAGAAAGCAATGTTTTAATAATAAACTTTTTTTTAATTACAAATTAACAGAAGTTTTTAACACATAAAAATTATTTCAAATCGCAATTAAAGTTTTCTGTATTTTTGCTTTATAGTGTTATAAAGTAAAAACACCTGCATGTTTTAACGTTTTAATTATACATTTGTATATAATAGGCTTGGTGGCGCATCAGCACCACAGGTGTGGTGTTCGATCCCCAGGCTGAGCTAAGTTACCTCATCCTTTCATCCCTTGAGTGAGTCGATAATATGAGAACCAAGTTCGTTTGGAGGACTAAACACCGGAGGTCCTGCAACAAGCTGACCACTTGTTCAGGGCATATGTTCATGCATCCCGGGGCCTACGGTCAGGAAAGCAAATATCGGGGTATCGGGGTCACTACGGCTGTTGCGCAACTGAGTTTAGTTAATATACTATATATATAGAGAGTATTTACTTGCCTATTTTCCCTCCTAGTTTTTCAGAGCAAAGTCCTCAACTTTTTTAAAACATTCTTATGATTTTCCACTTCCTCAAGGCATTTAGGAAGCGAGCTTTTTTAAATTTTAAAAATGGATTCGTCCACGTAGTGGTTGTTTTCATCTTACTAATTTAATTGATTTGGCTCAATGAATTTGGGGTGCTCATGAATCATATGTATGTTTATCAAAGCTCATGAATTTGAGGTGCTGCACCCCAAATTCATGAGCTTTGATAAAGTAAAAAATTCATGAGCTTTGATAAAGTAAAAAATGAGCTTTGATAAAGTAAAAATTCATGAGCTTTGATAAAGTAAAAAATTCATGAGTCTTGATAGAGTAAAAAATTCATGAGCTTTGATAACGTAAAAAATTCATGAGCTTTGATAAAGTAATAATACCGAAAACCTTCACGAAAACAGGAATATCTAACACTCTTGATAGCTCTGAAAATCACTGCGTAAGAGAAAACAAACTAAACAGCTACAAAGACGATGATGATGGTGGTGACAGAAACAATTTGCAGGCTATAAAAGATGACACAGACAACAGTTCGAATAGCAATGAGCCGCCCAGACGATATAATGGTTAGGAGAGTAAACCGCTGAGTTGGCTTCCGACCCAGGTATAGATATATCTATGCAGAACTGGTTACCAACTCAGCGGGAGTTGAGTTACAACTGGACACCACTAGCTGCCAGGCCGCAGCCCCAGGCTGAGCAGACGACATTTATAAAATGCAAAAAAGAAATATACATATGCATACAAGGCACTTCAAGAAGAGTACAATCAAAACATATATATATATATATATATATATATATATATATATATAATTTATTTCCTAAACCGTATTGATTAATTGATTATATTATCTCCTAAGTTTAATTAAAGTAGAATTATTTTAAAAGTGTGCATCCATACTGGTAAGTTATATTTTGAAAGATGTTTTGAAGTAATATATATATATATATATATATATATATACATATAAATACCAACTCAGATACAGATATATATACACACTTACATACATATATATTCCGAAACAAATAAATATATAATAATAATAAAAGTATACATAATCTCACTCATATTCATATATACATTTACAAAAATATACGTTATCATAGTTAAAGTTTACATGAAGCATGTTATTGAGGTACGCGTGATCCTTAGTATAAATTAGGTACTAATAAAAGATATAAACATGTACAGATACAGTACAAACTTTGTGTATGAAAACCTGGCACAGTATAAATACAAAATTACATATTGAACATACATATCACATACTCTGTTGCTGACATATTGAACTAACTTATATAGTTCTAACATGTATACTGCTAGGTTTTGCAGAGCAAGTAATCTGTCTTCAGGTTGTTAAGGAATATTCTTTGATATCGCCAAGAGATGGCGTTAGGAGTCCATCTATTGGCTTACTTGACCTTTCCCCTTCTGAACACGTGACTTGAAAAAATATTCTTCTTCTTGAAGGTAGAATTTCGATGCACTACGCAATAGAATTCGATTTAGATATTAGCTGGAACTATTCAGTTCTTGCCTCTTGAGCATTAAATATTCGATTCAGGCATTTTAGCCAACATTGTATATATGTAAATATTAAGTTTAATTAAAATTTATGGAAAACCCTCCAGGCCATGCATCTCGTCCTTTGGATTATGAGTGATTCGACTTTGATATAGAACTTTCGTTGCATAATGGTGCATCGGCCCCAGAAAAGAATCTGATTAATTTGAAAATTTGTGTTTTTCGCCTTTTGGATTAGCTTTGTAAGCGAAGACTTCTCACGGTAAGTCTCCTTTGATAATTTATTAAAATGGAACAGAAGACACTAATTAAGAATCGAGCACATATACGTGCTTCTGTAACTCAAATTATTAAAAATGTAGATGTGTATTTAAAAGAAGAAAAACAAGAAGAGTTAGAAAATTGTTTGGAATTGTTAAATAGTAAAGAAAACGGAAACTACATGATTTAAATGAAAAAATACAAAATTTGATTGAAGATGAATCAAAATTAGATTCAGATATTAACACTTCTATGGAATATAACGATAAAATAATAATAGCGAAGTCTAAAATCAACCGTTATTTAAGGAAATACAATACTCAAAATATCAACACGAATTTAAATAATTCATCTACAGAAGTTGAAACCAAAAGACAGATTGAAGGCAATGTGAAATTGCCCAAAACTGTTAATTCACAAATTTTCCGGAGATTATAACGATTGGATGAATTTTTGGAATTCATTCAAGGTCACTATTCATGACAATGTTACACTTTCGAAGATCAGAAAAATTTAATTATTTGAGAACTTATTTATGTGGAAACGCAGCATCAGCCATAGAAGGTCTCTCAATCTCAGAGGCTAATTATGACTCTGCTATAGACATTCTTAAAAATAGATTCGGCCAAAGTGACCTTATTATCAATACACACATTTCTAATCTCTTAAATTTAAATCCCGTTCAAAGTTCAAGTGAAGTGGACAAAATTGCGAAAACTTTATGATACAATTAACGTTCAAGTCAGAAGCCTTTTAGCATTCGGTGTGTGAAACCAGAAACATATTCCAACATGTTTATTCCAATTTGATGATGAAAATTGTCCCGAACGATATAACTTTACAATTTCATCGTACAAATACTGAAAATCCTTCAACCTATGATTTTAAACAAATTTCTAGACTTTCTCCGATTAGAAATAGAATCGCGAGAAAAGATTAATTCGTTATCCTTTCCACGCAAATCAAACCCGGAAATGAAAGTTATTAACAGATATCCACCGACGCCGAAACATAAACAAACTGTCACTACACATGAATTTATGGCAGCCGCGTCATCAAATCGAAACTGCATTTTTTGTTTTCAAAACCATGACTCAGAGTCCTGTTTATGCCTTACAGTTAATGAGAAGAGAGATATTTTAAAAAAACAAGCGCGTTGTCTTCTTTGCCTGGCCCCTAAACACAAAATCTCACAGTGCCGGCAACGCCAAACTAAAGTTTGTAAAATTTGCAAAGGTAAACATTCAGAAGCCATATGTTTTAAATCCAGTTCGATAGTTAAAAATACACCAAGTGATAAAAAGGATAGTATATTAATTTCGAAAAATGATACACAAACTAAGGAACTGAAAGAAGAAATTGTTTCGGCCGTTTCACATAATGCAAATAATACAATTCTTTTACAGACTTGCACGATAAAAGTTAAAACAGCTAAGGAAAAGGTGTTTGCCAGACTTCTCTTGGATAGTGGAAGTATGAAAAGTTTTTGTGCTCGCGAGTTAGCGGACAGATTAAACCTCGAAGTCATAAGAAAAGAAAAATTGACTGTCTACACTTTTGGGAATACTTCTCCCATCCAAAAGAATTATGACGTAGTTAAATTAACTTTAGAACATAGAAGTTCTCCCGATTCTAGAATAGAAGTTGAATTATTAGTAACTGATCATATATCAGGTACAGATATTCCACCTCCTAAATCAGAAGAAATTAAACAAAACAGACAATTAAAAAATTTGCTGCTCGCAGATTTTCCCGATTGTAAAAAACCCATTGCCATTTTAATTGGTGCAGATTATTATTACAAACATAGTAAGGGGACACGTTAAATACTTAAGCAAAAATCTTGTTGCAGTGGAAACTATTTTCGGCTGGTGCCTACATGGACGAAAAGGTGATGATGATGTCTCTTTAGCTTTCAATGTAGTTGTAGGGGAAGATTTGATTTCCAAACAATTAACAAAATTTTGGGACTTGGAAAACTCAGGACTTATTGATAAGAGGGAAAACTTCAATTCAACTGAAAATGAAGTCGTCGAATATTTCGAATCAAATATAACATATGAAAATTCTCGCTATAAAGTTAGATTGCCTTGGAAACATGACACATCAAATCTAAATAATAATAGGGAAATCGCAGAACAAAGATTTCATCGACTTAGAAAACGATTTAAAAAAGATCCTAATGTATTTTCTGAATACAGGAACGTATTAAGAGATAAGTTAAAACAAAATATTATCGAACCAGTTTCAGAAATTTCAAATGAAGAGGATGTCGTGTGTTTACTTGCCACATAGGGAAGTTATACGCGAGGATCGAGCTACAAGTAAATTACGTATTGTTTATGATGCATCATCGCATGCCCCAGGATCCATTTCTTTAAATGACTGTCTACATGTTGGGCCAAATTTATACCCTGAAATATTCGAAATATTGTTAAGATTTCGGTATAATCTAATAGCCTTCACCGCAGATATAAAACAAGCCTTTTTACAGATTCTCATACATGAAAAAGATCGAGACGCAACCAGGTTTCTGTTTTCCGATTTCCCTAATGATGAAACCATTT